GAAACATTGAGGTATGAGAGAGAACATTACTCAGAGGAGAAGCAGGTTTTGAAGCAGGAAAGAAAAAGGAAAAAAAAAGAAGATTTAATGTAGTCAAAATGGTCATCACCAGAAACAAGGAAGTTCATTGTGGAAACTTGGTTTGCTGTTGCCGTGGGGATCTTCCTTCCTCCTCTGACATATATTTTTGAGGAGGTTTACATTTCAGGACAGCAAAAATGTGGAGGCAGAAAAAGCTTTTTGTATCAGTTTTTCTTTAGGTTGACATTGGTAAGAGTGGAAATAGTTTTAATATTATGTCATTATTTTTGGAGGTAACTAAGCTTGTCATTTTCCATCATAACACTAGATGTAATTTTCCAGTTTCCTCTCTATACCACATTTCTATTAAGTAGAGAGAAAATCAGGTGAAAGCTTAATTTTTACTGGAATGTTTTACACTCTTCCAAGCTTTGTTTCCTCATATGGGGCTAGTATCTGCTTGGGGCTAAATTAACAGTTACTTCTCAGATGGAAGAGGTCTGGAGGTACAGAATCATTGAAAGCAGAATACACTGGTATATAATTAAGTTGCTAAAAACTAGTTTTAAATGTACTTACTTTTATTTTAAAAAGTTTCAGTGCTATGTCTGAGCATAGCTGGACAGAAATGCTCAGGATTCAGAAGTTGTACAGGCAGGTTCTCACATAAGAAAAAACTTGACAGTTTTTAAAGAAAAAACTGCAATTAAAACTTAATTCAGAAGAATTGAGTAGAGAGAACTAGTGTTTATGGTACATGAATACAACTGTAAAATACTATTTTCCGGGAAAGAGCAATATGCATCTGATCTGCTTCACACTGAATAATCATAAATTACTGTATTTCTTGGATGTTTTGCAGTGACTGGTCATACCAGCCAGTCATGCTTCTGCTGTATGTATCACACTGAGGGAATCTAGGTGGAATTCCATCTTCCGAAATGAGTTTCTTCCCACAGAATCTTGTATCCCCACTTAGAGCATGTGGGTTACTATTCTCCCTATTGAAACCCATGGCAAATCGTGCAGTTAACTTCAAGATTGGCATAAGTCAGGCCCATGCCATTCAGCATGATTTGTAAATGTTTTTTCCAGTATTTATAAGACAGTTAAACGCAGGATATTTTTTCCATAGTTAGCTAAGATAGCGTCTAAAAGCTCATAAATAAAAGCGTGTGCGGTGTTAACTGTAGATCAGGACATCAGTCTGAATCGATACCTTTTGAGGCTTCAAAGCCACTGACAATTCTTTAATTGACATTTTCGTTAAAAATTTTCAGACCTCTCTCTATGAAATTCATTTAAGATCAAATGAAAAAAATCCAGAAGTAGCTATCTCTTACATTTCTAGTTTAGCAGAAGGTGATAGTTGAGAACCCTAAGAGAACTTATTTTTGTGAAATTACAATTTAATTTTCACTGCAAAGGTGAGTCTAGAGTCACTTTCAAAGCACCATCTGCCATTTGAGTAGCTACCCAAATAAGACTGCTTAATATTTTGGGTGAAGCTTTCACGTACAGTGCATACAGAGCATAGCATAGTAGCAACACAAAATATTTACATTTTTCATGTTGTCTTAAATAGCATAGTGTCTGCTTTAAATAGTAGATTTTCAGTAGTCTTCAGCTCTGGTGTGTCCTGTGTTAATCCTTGAATAACTGCAAAAACAATGCATTGTCAGAAATAATGTAAAATAAGATACCTCTAATTGTTTGCAAAATGTCAAAAAGCACCCAGGAGGATTCAACTCTGATTACCTTTTTGATTAGTTTTGCAAAGCTCGTCAAAAACTCCTTGGGTTTTTTTTTCTCATAAGATTCACATGAAGACTCGCATGGCTGGAAGATAAAGAAAATCATGTCACTCCTAAACAGTGCATCCGAATCAAAAATAATACTTCAAGCTTTCTTATTGAAAAATCAAGAAGGCTGTAATCAAAGCCTTTTACAAATGGAAAAGCTGAAACACAGCCTAGCTCAGAAAGGGAAAGGATATAGTAATGACACCTGTTCACATTTTTTGCAGCAATCCCTGTCCTTTTGTCTGGCACATCATGTGGTTGCCCAGTACATAGGTGCAGTTGACTGACAAGATCAGTATGAATGCCCCTTCCAGAAGTGCAGAAAATTGAACATTTTTAATTTCCAAGGTAATGAAAGGCACATAACTTTTTCTACCAAGTTTGCTCTCTACAATTCCACCACTGCACATGGTGTCTGTTAGGGAAGATAAGGAGCAGTGATCAGGATTGTGAGCACTGTGAGGAAGTCTTACCTTCCCAGGGTCACTGAAGGAAAATCTTTTCAAGACTTTAATGGTTTGGATGAATGTAGAATTTACTTGGCTGTTTTCTGGCTGTAATTTCAGCGTGCCCTTCTGGAAGCAGGTCACAGCTGTGAAGAGGCATCCATCCTAGGTAAGGAAAAGAAGCAATATTTTTAGAACTAACTTTGCGGCATATTTCTGGCATGTATTAGGTTGTGGTCCATGCGTAGAAGTAAGTGTCCAGGACATTGATTGAGGAGATAAATTTGTGCTCTCTCTTTTTTCTAAGTTAGTTTTTGAGAGAGATCGGTAACTTTTTCGCTGCCTGTTCTTTGCTAATTGCTGAAGTACTTCCTCAGAAAGTAAATGACACTTTGATATTAATCATAGCAGCAACTGAAAGAAAATGCTACTAAAGAGTAAATCATATTATGCGTAGTAATATTATGTGTAGTAAGTTTTCACAAGCATGGGCATGAATATTTTCTCTTTTAAAAAATAAGAAATTATCACTCTGGACTGTTCCTCAGTGCTACATATGGGAATATACTTTTTTCTTCCTAATTTTTGTGCCATTTCTAATATTACATACTTAATAATTAGAATTGATGTAGAACAACATATTTTCAAATACAGTTGAAATATTCTCACTTGATAACATGGGAAATGAAAGTGATGAAGTAAATTAGTTACTAAAGAGAAAAGAAGCATTGAGGGTGAGAGGCAGGAGAAGGAACTGGGCTCCTGGCTTGAATTGTCTTACTGTGTTCCTTTAAATTCAGGTGCACATTAAATCCAAGTCAAGGAAAGCCAGCACTCTCTGTATCTGACTTGGAAAAGAAGCAGTCTAATCTGATGATACAAATTTTCTGTTGCTGCTGCTTATCTGGAATGAAAGCATCCTGCCATTTTCCTTTCATAGTGCAGCTGCATATTAATTTTACTGATGCTAACAGAAAGATTACAAGCTCTCCAGAATCTGCTTTCCTGTCCAGTGGCTATTTTCCTTCATGGGCACACAGCTATAGAGAATATCACCAAAACTAATCTGTAGTCAATGGAGAAAGAAAAGGAATGTTTACTAAGGCAAATTTAAAAGTTGCTTTCTGTTTTCCAAAGAAGGAAACATTTAAAATTGCTGATTTTGCATATTAGAAAGGTTCCAAAGCTATCATCCCTGTTTTGCATGCCAACTGCTACCAAAGCTGAATCTCATCTGGTTTATTAGATGCCATTGTAGTTGCTTTGGCCAGGACAAGGCAACGTTCATCTATGTTGCTTTTAGCAAATTTTAATGGCAGCATTTTATATTGGTCGAGTATTACATTTTATCTTCCTTAAAAACCGCACATTCGTGTTTGTTTCAGGCTTCTTACTGTAACTAGTCCTGCTTACTGGAAAAAAAAATCTCTTTTTTAAAGAGATCAGTTTTCCAGCTGAAACTGAAAACATTTTCTGTCTCATCCGTGATGAGCTGAGAAACCAGCTTTTTTCATATATATTGGTTTGGTTGTTTTTTTCAGAATTAACAGTTAGCTCTCAACAGTTGACCAACAGTTCTGGGGTTTTGTATGTTGTGATGGGTTAAGCACTTTCATGAAGAGTCTTTAAAAAGCATAGAACACAGGCAATGTCTGAGGGAGGCTAGGCAAACGTGTAAAATATTTGTATCAGGCAATTCACAGCAATACTCTGTGTCTGACTCAGGCTGCCTTTTTAGCTTGAAAAGGCTTGAAAAGGCTTCACTTCCGGAATTAGCAGTCAGTGGGGTTAGATGCTGATTTGATGTAAATCAGCGTTTTGTTGCTGGTGTAAGCTGCAGTGTCGGTCACCAGCAATAGATCTTATTTTCCCTCTAGTCTTGAATCTCTTCAGCTTTAAGACTAATTTTTCATCCTCAGCATAATTTCTTTTGAGCTGATGTCCTCAGAAATTTTAAATTTCTTGTCTCCCTTCTTTTAAGTGAAAAAAAATAAAAGATACTTCATTGTTGAGTATCAAAGAAATTGAATGGGGTTGAATTGGGGCTAGCACTCGGTCCACTCACAGGAACCTCAAAGAAGTCAAAGCAAATAGTAATAAGACAATGAATTTTCAATGTAGTCTTCTTACTGAATATTAAAGGCCAAAGGTAAATTGTGGCATAAGTAGTTTATTACGCAGGCAATATTTTAATATTTGAAATACAGTTATATGAAAGGCTTTTTATTAAATTTGGTTTCATTAGGGTGTGATTGCACCTAATCCACCTAATCACCCTGAATGCAGCTTTGGCACACTGTAATTTCTATCTTTGTATCTTAATAATTCAGTAAACGTAAATTTCATCCTGTAGGATGAAAAGTTTGTTAACCATGGTTGCTAGTGATAATTACTATTAGCACACTAACATTTTTTAAGTTTTCGTCAGAGGTTAAACCTGTATCAACTGAGTACCTTCTAAATATGTGACTTCTCTGTAGTTTTCAGCGGAGGTACCTGGGACCTCCTAGAATCAGACTGTAAAGCTCTAAGCTGCAAATGAAGTGTTGTCTTCCTTCCTGAGGTGACCATGGTTTTTTTGAGAGGAAAAGAAAAAAAGAAGTAGACTAAGCAATTAGTCACTAGTTGTATTTGCTTTGTGTCAGGGATAGTGGCAGTGAAACAGCTAATCATCTCCTCCTTTTCATTTTGACACCTCAAGTTAGAGCGTTAATGAAAAAAACCCCATCAATTAGTTAGGGTGCATGAGGTTCTTCAACTGCAGTTGTTTCTAGCAATGAAAAGGAATGTATCTGTTTTGGTCATGCTTCTGTATATTTTTGGCAAGTATAAATTCCACCCCGTTGTAAAGCTTAGGAAGAGGCTAACAAAATCTGTGCGAAACGAGGTAAGTTTTTTCCTTTCTTCTTGTCGTTGTTTTGCAAGAGAATTTACAGTCCTGAGTAAATAGCTTTGCGCTCTGGGTGTTTTTCAAAAAATTATGCAAATGATAATTTTTATATGTTGATTAAAAATTGTTTGCTTTCTAAAATAGTTACCGGGGCTCCAAAATCTTATGGGTAAATTTAAGACAGCTGAGAACAGAAGCATAACATCAGATTAGGCACAGCTAGCTCTAGACCTTTGTTGCAAGTTGGAGATTATCAAAAGCAAACAGGATGCATTTACCTTCTGAGCTTTTAAGTCATGTTGTTACTATTATTAAATACTATTAGTATTTGATTTCATGGTAAATCTTGCATCCTACCACTTTTGAGTATGCACACACTTTCTGTGACTCTGAAGTAATATACTACATACAAGAGGTTCCTGACCTTGGAGCACGTAAAATATCAGCATTAGATAATGTATAAATTATATCTGTATTTAAAATGGATTCATATGGATTTGCTCTTGTAATTTTAACTAGTTATAATCAAAGGAGAACGCTTGTAGGATGCAGTTTTATCTTCCTGTTGATAACCCAACCCTTGCACACAAATACTCAGAGAAAGCACTGTGACTCTGTAGGAGAGGAAATGCTGTGTAATATGGCCTTACAGTGCCGTTCTTGGCACTTGGATTCAGACGGGGGGAAAAGGGATTCCTCTGGGGTTCAGCTCAACGATACGCCGGGTGTGGCTGGAGCTCATGACAGCTAGAGGCATTTCCACTCCCAGAACCTGCATCCCCAAGAGCATTGTTGCTTGCCTGGATCTTGTATGAATCCTTAGCACCATTTCTTAAGTAAATGGAATACACACAGACTTGAATCTGTGGGTATGTTAGAATATATACATGATAGCAAAATAGTAATTAAGATGACATAATATGAACGCTTCTGTCTTTCAAAATCCAGAACTAAGGAACTTTGATAAAAAGTATTTTCTTATTCAGTCTTATTCAGTCTAGTAAGAGTATTAGGTCAGAGATGTGAAGAAGAAATCTCCCATTTGTCAATGGAATAAACCAGTACAAATTCAAAATGATATAATGAGAAACGTTAAAGCAATCTCACCACAGGGTTTTCTGGTGTATGCAGCAGTTCAGCATCCTACAATAAAACAAATTTAAGTTAGAAAACTTTAATGTTTAAAAGGGGTGTCCCTCACCAGATACATTTGAAGCAATACATAATGCTTGTAGATAATATTATGGTAAATACTTCGCTTACCTTATCTTTAACTGAAGTTTCTAACAGTTTAATTGTCTTCAGAAGCTGTTTGTATTTTGCTGTTTTATATGGAGCTGCAGTCAGTGCCATGCTGGAACTCAAGAAAAGTATACATAAAATAATCATCCTCTCCATACTGATGAGTTTTGGTTTAGAATGTGCCAGGAGCAATGTTGTGCTATTCAAAATCAACACTTCAGTTTGAGCTGTGCTCAGGTATGCTGTGTACCTACCTATATATTGCTCCTTGCTGGAGATGTAAAACCCACCCATTTCAGTTTGGAAAGCTTTGTAAAATGGATCAATGAGTAACCTTTTTTTCTTTTCCACTGGCTAGGTGCATGTATGCAAGTTTGTGCGTAGGGGGCAGGGATTGATGGAGTGAACAAAATATGCGCCATCTGCACATTGAACAGGAAAAAAGAAAAAGGTGAATTCCCATTTTCACTTTGAGTCAAGAAATGAACATAGTAAAAAGTAGGTACTTAGAAACCACAGACCTAGGTAAATAAAGATTCTGCCTTTTTTTTTTTTCTTTTTTTTCCCTGTTTCTTACAACAGTAAGTCTCTCCAATCCATTTGAAGTTCTTACGTACCATGCTGGAGAAATACAACAATATTACTTTGTGGCTCCAAGGGTTGGTTGTTAGCTAGTTTCCCTAATGCCTATGAACTGCCACTTTCACATTCTTAGCTTGGTTTCTGCAACAGCTGTGACTAAAAGCTCATCTTAACATTTAAGCCAGCTGAAGGTTGCTTTATATTTACTTAGAACCAGGACCAGATGTTTTAGCAGGATCTTAGGGTGTGTGTCCACTGGGGGTGAAAGCTGCAAGGAAAATGTGTTGCCCTGGGAGAGGTGGATCCCTCTACTGTGCCCATTCCCCAAATGGGAAAAGATAAGGGGCTAAATCCTGGTGAGTCCCAAGGGACACTGGCAGTGGTCCAGTGCTTGTGGCAGCTAAAAACATTGAATTATGTTTTGTGGCAGCTAAAAACATTGAATTATGTTTTGCAGCAGCTAGGCTCAAAATCAGTTTTGGTATTTAAAGCAGCCCTTTCAATGAGATGTAATAATGAGACCTGAGAATTCTCTTGAGGATGGAGAGGTGCGTTTGTTTTATGTGAAATGAAACAAAAGTGCATACTTCAAAAAATGTCAAGCCGGAATAAGACCAGCAGAATGATATCAATTAAGAAATAAGTCAGAATCTCATAATTTCCTTCAACATCAATGCTTGTTGTAATTAGGGATATATGCTTCTTTGGAGGAAATTTATTTAATATTAAAAAAGATGTTCATTAGTGGGTTTTTTTTCCAGCACATGCTGGTAAAGAATGTTCTCTAATGGGGAGGGAGTTGCTTTCTTTCTAAATGACTGCCACTGAGGTCAAAGGTGTTTAAAGGTATTCATGTTGAATATACTCATTTTCTTATTAGTTGCCTTCAGTCCAAGCCTAGTTTATGTCACTCTCACAAGCTGCACTGTTTTCATCGAGGCTCTCTGCAGGCACTAGGGACTTACTGGACTGCTGGCTGTAGGAATCAGCTGAATTTAAAATCACTGTTCCTGATATTTCATCACAAGAAGAAAAAAAACAGCTTTAAATATTTTACATATTGCCATTAATATTGCCGGTTACCATCGCTGTAGTATTGACCATTAAAAGGCTCCTGTGTGGGATTAGTAGAAGGCAATTCAAAGTCACTTGAGCACCTTCACTGTGGTGAATAAGAATATGCTCAGTTGACTTTCAAATTAAATCTTTGCCTCTGAAAGTCTAAAGGTTTCAGATGGCTTTGGAGATGCTTTACAAAATCTACACAGAGTATGGACTTCAGTTTGGTGTCTAGAATGCTAGTCTGTGTAGTATGCTGACATTGTATAAAATGCATCTGTATGTTTCTGACTGGTGGGTAAATTTGAGCAAGTCCAGTTGGATCCCTTATTTGTCATTCATTTCAAAATGAGCATTTATGCTGATGAGAGCTCTATGTCAGGCATACACAATGGTGTTTGTTTTTTGTAATAAATTATAATTCACTGTGTGTTGTTTATGTGGTTAAGCCATTTTTTAGTCTTTCAGGAAATGGATAGCTTAAAGGAATAGATTTTACAGGTGTATGTGTAGATACACATAGCACTGTCATGCGTGCACACACAAAACTTCTCCTGGTGAAAGGGCTAGCTAATTACACTAATAGAGCAAAGATCCTAAAAAATAAGAACTGATATAAGTAAGAAAAGAAAAAACTTCTACCACATAGCCTAAAATTTAATTTCTTGAAGAAAGTGTACTGTGATTTTTGGTGTTTTATTTGTTTTATGTACAAGTCTTGAAATTATTTTAGATAAGCAGTGCATCTGGACTGGGAAGTAAGGTTTTATTCAGTAGGTTTTATTCAGAAGTTGTGTTAATTTATAGCTAAGGATCATTATTGGAAATCAGCATCATCCTCTGTTTGAGAAACTACGTGGTGACTGCATTTTATTACTTTTTTTTTTGCTAGCCTCCTTTCCCTCCATCCCATTCAGGTGCAGCTTTGAAAATTTTTTTAACCTCTTACCCAACACCTCTGTGAGGCTGCCAAGAGGATGGAGAGATTATTTCTGAGTGGTATTATTTACATGAAGAGAGTACTTAGCTCTGCTCCTCTTTACCATAACTGACCCTTCATCTTCTCTGTAGGTCATTGTCTAGTAACTTGGATGAACATACAGGCTGGTCATAATGTCTGCTTCAGATCACTGACATTACTGTCAGTGATCAATACTGTGAATTCTTTTGAGAAGCTCCTTTGAGCCCACCTACGGTAGGTGGTTGTGCTAGCCCTGGCAGCCTCTGTTTTATGCACCTCTGTTTAGTTGATAGATTGGAAGCTTTCTACTTAGACGTGGAGTACGACTATTAACTCTGTCCTTATTATGTGGTTGGCAGTTATTCACGCAAAGATATCGCTGCAGATTGTTTGCATTAATCAGACAACTTCAGGACCACTCAAGAACTTCAGTTAATGTACAGTATGTTTTTATATTCAGAAATGCAAGGTTTAAAGGGACAATGTAGAGGACATAGGTTTCTGTCACTGTACAGGCACATGGTACAGTAACTTTAATATTTTACCTTATCAGTTAGAAATGCTCTACCTATTGCAGACTAGCTTTGCGTTTTTATTTGTCCTTGATGATTTGCTAGATGAGCGTGCATAGCATCATTTGCTATATAGCTGTGTCTCTGCCAGGTACCGGTTTTGGTCTCTATGGCTACATATAATGGGACCCTACAATTCCATAGTAGGATCATTCCTGTGTAGCTAACAACTGTTTTAATTTTCAGCTTTTTTCATAAACTTGTGATATTTAAGGGGCTCAAGCAGCGACCAGGTCTTAAAGCAGTGCTGCTTCTGGAGATAAAATCTGAATAACAAAAGAGAAAATCATAAGGCCTAGCATGTTACTAGACTGGACAGTCCTGGGATCCTGGTGCTCAGGAAAGAAAGAAATACAATGACAGGCAAAGGCAGCTTTAAATCCACTGAACCGACCTCAGGCCTCATGAGCACTGTTTTTAGGAGTTTGTGTCATCGCAGGATTCATGTTTAAGCAAAGCCGTGGTTATCCCTTCATTTTTAGGTTTACTTAGCAAACTTACAAACTGAGTCCAAGTGGGGAGCCCTGCTGATGGCAAGTAGTGTGTGTGTGCTTGTGGCTCTAACCAAACATTACGCAGCAGTGCATTTCAAAGGACAGTTTATGATATTAGAGGAGATCAGAAGGTTTATTGCAGTGAAGACCACTGCATATTTTACATTAAAACCTACTGTGTGAAAGAATGGCTGTACAATAATGCCAGAGACTGTTTGGCCAGTAAATGAAGCGTTGTTATTTGATACCAGAAGCATCACAGAAATTTGGCTGACTTTATTAATTTGCTCGTGCAACAGGATAATTCATTGATTTCGTGGAGGCAAATGTCCACCAAATTCATGGGAGGTGAGATGGCTGTATCCAAGATATTCCTAAATTAAATCCATTATATCAGAAACGAGTTTTCAAGTTTGTGGAGTGATTAGAACGGGAAGCTAAACAATAGGCATTTGGCAATGTGGTAGCAGGTGGTTATGCATCATGTCTCTAAAACTCTGTAGTTGTCTGTTTTGTGTTAGAGGATATAAGGTCACAGTAATTGCTTGAGGAAAGGCATGCTGACAAGATAAAGTGAAATATAAGGACAAAGAACTTCCTGTATGTCTAGGCAGTGGAGAAAACTCCTTGATATCCCTCTTACCAGATAAGAGTGAGCAACATGCTTTTTATGTATGTCACTTTGCTTTTGTGGCTTAGGAACATGCTGAGTCAAATAATGACACTCTCTCTTGCACCAATGCCTGCCCAGCCCCGGAAGGATGCCTGCAGAGTGGAAATCTGAAAAACCTCCCATTCCAAGCCCGCGAGGCTGAGTCCTCTTTCCTCTTTGCAACATTGCCACTCAAATGCTGAATGACTTTGACACTGAAAGCCCAGTTCCCCCACCCACGTTTTCCTTTACAGTATAGTTGAATGTAGGTTTTTCCCATCGCTTAGTCATTGATATGGCTCAGGCAAAAATGCCTGTAATGTACCAGGCTGCTTTCAAAGAATTTTTTGACTTAGAAGCATGAGTTTTTATATATACTAGCTGCTGCCCACGGCAGGGGGGTTGGAACTAGATGATCTTAAGGTCCTTTCCAACCCAAACTAATCTAAGATTCTATGATTCTATATACTCTAATATATACTGTCTGATAGTGTATACTATCTGTGACTTGGGGGTAGTTGTGGGGAAGCAAGGGAAAAGAGGTGTGCTGGAAAAGGAGAGACTAGGAAAAAGGCTTGTGTATAACAGATTTAGGAAAGTTAGTCTTTAAAATGTTTCTGACAACTTGCCAAATTAGTTCCACCCTCTTTCAATATGATTTTCTTATTACAGGTTTTGGTATAATTCTTCTGTCTTTTCATCCGGCTTTGAAAAGGGAAAGTCAAACCTGGGAAAAATTCTGTTCCTAACTTGTAAGTGTATTAGCTATAAAAATCAGAGTAAAAACAACTCTGAATGTGGTGACATAGACACTAAAAAATTAATAGACTACATGTGACAATATAAAACCATTGGCATTCTCCATAATGGTCTTCCAGAGTTAACTTGTAGCCAGTTTCTAATCCATACTGAAGTGTGCCTGACACTGGCTAATAACACGACCCTGTGTATTAACTGAAAGAATTGGAGGAATAAATGGAGCAGCTCTTACAGGAGATCGTGGATTCAGTCTTGAGAGAATGTACTGAAGGTCAGAGGGATGGTAAGCAAAAGCTTTTATTACAGAAGATTCTTCTTATGTCATATAAGGGTAGTTACCTTGAGCAAAATATTTAGTTCTATTCCCAGTTGCTGGAGAACAGGGAGAAGAGTATGACAAGTGCTCAACTGGCTGGATTGTAAAGTGAACTGCTCTGTCTTCAAAAACTTGTGTGAGTGCCAAAGAATCCCCCTGTCTGCAGTTAGTAATAGGGGATGGAGAGGTACCTGGCTACTTATGGCCATGCCGGTGTTTGGCCTCTGGCTGTTACCATTTAAATTATTTCAATAATGATAGTGATAAATAGATAATGATTTAAAAATCATGATACTGTGCTTCTAGCAGTGAACATCATGGACATCATTAGCATTATAATCTGTGGTTGTCAATTGCAGTTAAGGCTAAGACACACTGGTAACAGAAAAAGAGGTGATGTAAGAATGAAAGATTTGGAGATGGAAAATAGAACCTGCTTTCAAGAACAGACAAAATCCTTCTGAATTTAGCACAACCCTGTTCACAGTCTTTACCTAACTTTTAGGAACAGCTTCAGCTAGTTGCATGAGAAATGCAAAGCCATTCGCAAATGTTTGTGTGTTGCCTCATCTGTTTTGTATCAGCGATCTTTGTCTTTGTTTTTCCCTGATTCATCAGAAGTTGGTGACCATAACTATAAAGCAGAACAATTTAACATTAACAGAAGTTGTATATATGTTAAATACCAGCTGCGTCCTGCTCCTAGGTCAACCCAGTGATGCTTATTATGCATGTAGTTTGATTAACGTATTTCTAGCCTTAAGAACTACTGAATTGAGAAACTGCATTGAGAAACTGTCTAGTCAACATCCAAAGCCTGAGACAAGCCTAGAGCCACTGTGGTTAGAATTTGATACTCAGAAGAACTGTCCTTTCATAACCTTCCAAGTCTTTCTTAAAAGTTGGAGCAGACTCCCCGCTCCTGGGTTGCACTTTTCTCTGCATGTAGGATGGAAGAAGCCTCACTGGATCACCGAGTCTAGTATTCTTCCATTGCAGGCATCCACATCATCATATAGCTCCTTTCACATCTCAGCTAAAAACTCCGGCGTAAGGTCTTATCAGTTAAATCTCTGTAATGATAAAAGCTTAGAGTTTCTTTCTGTGCTTATGATGCATTCCAGCTTTTATAGGGCAGCTTCGTTCTTATTTAGAGTACTACTGATAATCTCCAGCTTTTATAGGGCAGCTTCATTCTTATTTAGAGTACTACTAATAATCTTTCCATGCTACCAGAGGACAGCCACGTTCAGAACACAAGGTAGCAGTTGACAGGAAGACAAGCTATCACAATTCTCTTAACAACTTGAGGGCAGAAAGTAGTTGTTCACCTGAAAGCCATAGGTAGGGAGAGGTGGGGGCAATGAGCAAGTAAAATCAGTGCACCTCTTCCATATTGCAACAGTGACTTCTCCTGCAGCTCCAGTGCTTGATGGCATTGCACTGCCGGTCTTCAAGTCTCTTCATGAAACACAGGCTAGCAGTCTGCAATCGTTCTACCTCAGAAATGTTCTCTATATGTAATACACATTTCCTGACAACTCTGCTGATAGACGATATGGCCTGTGGTGTGAAAAGTGGTGATGTGCTAGTACTGAAACTCAACAGTATATGTCATGTTCATTCAAAATGTTCAGAAAGAAAAATCAAGAGATAGATGGGGGTGTGAATAGTGAATAGAGGAAATGTCCTGTGTTCAGCTGTAACAGTCATTTTTCTTCTTAGTAGCGGGTACAGTGCTGTGTTTTCAGCTGTAGTCTGAGAACAGTGCTGTTAACGCACCAATGTTCTTAGGTGTTGGTAAATAATGCTTACTCTGATCAAGGGCTTTTCAGTCTCATGCTCTGTCAGGGAGGAGCAGCACAGGAAGCCAGGAGGAAGCAGAAACAGGACACCTGGCCCAAACCAGCCATAGGGGTATTCCATACCACAGCACATCATGCCCAGTATATAAACTAGGGGGAGTTACCTGGAAGGTCTAGATCACTGTTTGGGTCAGGCTGAGTGTTGGTCAGTGGGATTTACATTCTTTTGATTCTCCTCCCCATCCCTCTGGGAGCTGAGGGGGAAGAAGGTGGGGAGTGAGGGAGTGTCTGCGTGGTTCTGAGTTACCAGCTGGGCTTAAACCATGACAAGGAAGCAGAACGGCACAATACAAAATGCTGCCTTTGTTCATTTACTAATGAACAGAAGTCAGAAGACAGTTACTTCTATGTTACAGTATCAGTGACATAAAACAACCCCCAAACCATTTACTCAAGATGAACAAGACTGGCATGGACTCTACCACAGTGTGGAGGAATGCACTGCGTACATAACTATTCCACTGGCAGCTGGGCCTTGGTGTATCCTGACGTGGCTGGAGATCATCTTTTCACTATAGCTCATATTTCTGTATCAAAATTAAAGGTTTGATGTTACAGGGTCTTTTGGAAGTCACTTCAAGGTTTGTGAGGCTGCTGTTCTGGCATAGGATATCTGTAGTAGTGCAGTTGTTCCCCTCTTGCAGAGCCTAGAGCAAAATACAGGGGATAGGCAGTGAGACTATGGTCCTCTTTCCCTTCTCTCCAACAAATCTGATCTGATTTTGCTTTCCTTAGAAATATATTCTACATAAAGTTATCTTTAAAATAAAATGGAGTTTTTAACTTTTTGTTATGTTTTATCTTTTGGCATTACTGGTAGAAGCAGATGACTGAGTACCACTTTTATTTCTAACTAGTTTCAGTTTCTGGTTTTCAGGTACTTCCAGAGTATTACAGATTGTACTCTCCTTCATATATGTGTATATATTGACAGTGTACGCACAGTTTCTGTTAGAACAGTATTTTTTATGGTAGTGTTGATTTCATGCTCTATAAACACATTCACATTGTTCTCCTGCCCTTTTTTTGTCTTACCAGGAACAGTTCCGTGTCATACTATCTCTGTGGCACAGCAAGAAATAGTGAGGACAGTGGGGCTGTGAGATTGCACTGGAGGATGTGGTCTGCCTCCACTTGAAATGACTCCAAGTACCTGCTTGCAGACCAGCTTCTCAACTTCATCTGTGTGCTGCCACTATGCATGCTGCAAACCATTGGATCAGCCATCAGATCCTTCTTGTATTTCAGTTCCTGCAGCAGGGAAGAGGCAGAAGCAACCTCAGCAGATTTCAGGATGTAGTAATGGAAGTGCTTTCTTCAGCCTCAAAGTTATTTTAAGAGCTTTCTACTTTAGGTCACTGCCACTCTGCGGTGTGTCTGCATCACAGTATTGAAGAGCCTCTGTTACAGTAGCTTGGGTCGTTAAAATGGTCCAGGTTAAAAATTCCTCTTGCAGAGGCTTTGAGTGTTTGTTTGGTTTGCTTTGTTTTTATTGCAGTCATTTCATTATCAACTCTACTTTCTCCATTGCACAAGTGACATATTTGCAATTAGCTATGAGTTGCTAGAAGTCAGAAACTCCTTTTCTCCTGGCTTTACTACTGATCAAAACTGGATCACCTATGCAACAAGTACCTTCTTAGCACTTAAGGCTGAGGGGGCCAGTGGGTATCACTCAGCAGAATCATTCCAGGAGCAGCAGCTTGGCGCCAGCGCAAACATCATTCAGGCCTTTAACTGTGTCTGAAATGCCATTTCTGGCAGAATCATTTTCAGGAAGAGGATTTAGGGAAGTTTTAACTCTTCAGCCTGGTCTGTTTAAGATTCTTGCAGGTATAATAGTACCACTCAGACATGATTTGTTGTTATTTGTCAGGCATTTACATCCATAAAATCTCTGATGTGGATTTAACTGTACCAGTAGAGAAATATCTTAAATAGCAATACTAACTATTGTGTTTCTCATACATGAATTGCTCTGTGAATATGATGTACCTTGTTAGGACTTTGTGCTTAAATAAATCTGCTGTTGTTTACAGCAGGTCAGGGAATGCTCTAAGGTGACTAGCTCATACTGTGCTTAACAGATGAAACCTTAGTATGTTTGAAAAAACAGCTTTTCTCAGTAAATTTTTTTCAGCTGTCTGTTTCTGTCTTCATCTATGACTAGACATATACAACAGATAAAAACGTGTGTGCCTGTACCTACAGATACATCTTTTATATATGCACACACATGCAGATTTGAAAAGCTGTATAGCACAGTTGCTTTGCATAACAGGTTTAATTTTTTCTCACAGGTCAGCCCCTTAAGTGAACCTTGGAAAAACTACTGTGTGATCAGTCGATTGCACTGAAGCGGCAGCACCCATTTGGTAAAGGTAGTCTTGGATAAAAAGCTGAACACTGTGGTTTCAGTGACTTAGCGCTGAAACCTTGTGGCTTCTGTGTAGGAGGCTGTATAAGCTGGACACGTTTGACATCCTTGTTTCTGAGCTGTGAAATCTGTACATCTAATTTATGAAAATTATCTCCGGTTTAATTTTATCCTTTTTGAATGAAGTCAACATATTTTCTTGCGTTCAGTGGAAACAATAATGGAAATGTTTCAAGATGTACTGTGTGAGCCTGTTTTGACCTCAGAAAGGGAGAAGAATCAAGATAACTCTTGATTATGATTGAGGTCTGAGAAGGAAATGAAATACAGGGAGAGATGAGAGAAAAGCATTTCTCAAGAGGGGAGACAAATAGAGAAATTAACTGTGGGAAATGACATAGGTATTAGAAAATAAAAACTGTCTAAATGAGAATTCAATTTAAAAAAATTACGGACAACCAAGTAAGGTAGTTTAGAATAAACCGTGGTACTAGTATCAGTTAGGGTAACCAACAGTATCTGTAATCTTTCTGGTGGTCTAAATAGCAAAATAAGTTTACATGTAAGGTAAATCCAAGACCAAGGCTCTTCCTCCTTCTGCTCTGGTGAGTGCCTACTGTCCTCACGACTCCCCAGAAAGCTGAGTTGTGGCAATACAGGATATCTGAACCTCTTAAACTGGCAAAACCTGTTCTCTTCACAGTCGTGAGCAATGACAGCCCAAACTTTGAGTTCTCACCAACAGTTTTGCCTTTGGCAAGCAGGTTCCCAAAAGCATGTACGCCGTTCCCTATAAGTGAATCTGTGGAAAGACAGAAAAACAAGCAAAGACCTCTGAATAGAAAACAAACGAGAAAAAAAGAACATTCAAGGTACAAAACTTGCTGTAATAGAATGAAATGACTACTTGTGTGAAAGTAACTACTCGGTACGTTTGTGGGAGTACAAAAATCTGAAAACATTAGTCAAAGACTTCTGTGTGAACAAAGATTGAAAGTGTGATCACCCACTGTCAGTTATAGCAAATGGATGACTTCAAGATTAATCTTAATAAGTTTCAGTAATTTCTGTGTCGAAACATCAATAGAAGACCATAGATTTTAATTGCTTTTACTCTCTCATTGGTCCTGCTAGGGGAGTTGTTCCTTTTCAATAAAAGAAAAAAAAATTCTAATGTTGTACCTTTGACTGGAAAATTAATGTCTTGTCTTGCTTGTGTTTTCTTTCCAGAAAACTGAGCCAGTAAACATGACTGCATCTGCAAGTGACTATACAAGAAAATAGTAAAACTGCTGTCTTAAGGTACTCTTCTGGGCAATGGCATTTTTCTTGTCTGTTATTTATGTGCTTCTTGCAGACCTAAGACTTGATACCCTGTTCCTTGGGTAGACACTGATGTTTCTCTGAACTAACAAGGGAAAAATAAGGAGGCACTGAAGATGTTAGTCCAGATCCAGATCAGTGGAGACTTTTGGAAAACCACGTTTTTCTCATGCTCACTGCAGATGTGGGACATACAGATAACCAGGAAAGAATTGTCTTTTTGGGGATCCAGAATTTACTCAGAAGCAAGATCATAAGATTCAGCATTCCTTTCCATATAGCTGAATTTCTGGTTGTGAACCTCTTCCTCTGATTATAAGGATTACACAACTACCTTTTTTACTGAACCCAAGAAAAACTCTATCTATGACTCTTGTTTTCTCTTTTTCTGTTTAACTAAGCCGACAACTTGTTAGATCCCTGGTTGGTGACATTTTAATGTAGTTTCTTAGCCCCACTACCTTTCCAATTTTGGGACCAGTCTTGTTCAACATCTTTGTTGATGACATGGACAGTGGGATTGAGTGCGCCCTCAGCAGGTTTGCCGATGACACCAAACTGTGAGGTTCGGTTGATATGCTGGAGAGAAGGAATGCCATCCAGAGGGACCTTGACACGCTTGTGAGGTGGGCTGATGCCAACCTCATGAAGCTGAACCATGCCAAGTGCAAGGTCCTACACCTGGGTCGGAGCAATCCCAGGCACAGCTACAGGTTGGGCAGAGAAGAAATTCAGAGCAGTTCTGTGGAGAAGGACTTGGGGGTGTTGGTCGATGACAAAATGAACATGGGCCGGCAGTGTGCGCTTGCAGCCCAGAAAGCCAACCGTATCCTGGGCTGCATCAAAAGGAGCGTGACCAGCAGGTCGAAGGAGGTGATCCTGCCCCTCTACTCTGCTCTCGTGAGACCTCACCTGGAGTATTGTGTGCGGTTCTGGTGTCCTCAACATAAAAAGGACGTGGAACTGTTGGAACAAGTCCAGAGAAGGGCCACGAGGATGATCAGGGGACTGGAGCACCTCCCGTATGAAGATAGGCTGAGGAAGTTGGGGCTGTTCAGCCTGGAGAAGAGAAGGCTGCGTGGAGACCTCATAGCAGCCTTCCAGTATCTGAAGGGGGCCTATAGGGATGCTGGGGAGGGACTCTTCATTAGGGACTGTAGTGATAGGACATGGGGTAATGGGTTCAAACTTAAAAAGGGGAAGTTTAGATTGGATATAAGGAGGAAATTCTTTACTGTAAGGGTGGTGAGGCACTGGAATGGGTTGCTCATCAGGGATGTTGTGAATGCAGGCTGGATGAGGCCTGGGGTGACATGGTTTAGTGTGAAGTGTCCCTGCCCATGCAGGGGGCTTGGAACTAGATGATCTTAAGGTCCTTTCCAACCCTAACTGTTCTATGATTCTATGATTCTAACCTACCTGCCTGTGCTGGGCATGGATAAATAGTGAAGCACCAGTGCTGCACTTCTGGTCCAGGCATCCCCCTTCCCTCCCAGGATGGTTGCATCCAGGTTGCTGAGGGGCAAAAGTGGCTGCTTGAATCTGCCCTTCTGCAAGTTTGATCCCCCTGTGTTGAGGGCCCAGCTGAAAAGTCACAGGAGATCCTTTTTTTCCCCTCCTTCTAGCACCAGCTTTGGTGTTTGCCTCTTAAGGAACAGGTTAGGTCACTGAAACAGCCAAAAATGTGCCTTCCTGCGGCAAGCAACTGTTAAGCTGAGCTAGCTGTCACAGCAGTGTGTATCATGGGAGGTGCTTGGCTGTCTGGGCTGAGACAGCGCAGATACTGCACTGCCTTCCCATGCCTTCCTAAGGAGATATGCTGTTACCATGTGAGTAATGCTGCTCCACACCATGGGAATATGACTAAGATAACAGTGGAAGCTTGCCTCAGTAGCAGTTCCATATTTTTATTTTTTTAAGAGATCTTTCATTGTCCCACAGCTTAGGAAGTTATACATCATCATCTTTTGTGGAGTACTTGTTTTAACCCTGATCATTTGAGGTGTCTGATTTAAGAGTGGATTAAAAGCAGTTATTGCAGCACCACTGGGCATCGAGGGCTGCGACACTCAGCATGCATGAGGGAGGAGAAAGGAGGATGTGACTGTCCTACCCAGCCTCACCTTCAAATCAGACCTTTACCTGTTGCTGCCATTAGCTGAGCCACTGCTGGTAACTGCATGTGTGCTTGTAGCCCAATAGCAGGCAAAACAAAATGTTAAGGGGAAGATTGCATTTTACTTGCCCTTTGAACTGGTCAGAAAGTGCATATATTCAGCTGCTTTTAGCCACACTACCTTGGATCTCCTGGAGCTGTGTGTTGATATCATGCACCACACCTGAGGAGATGGTGATTGGACTCCAGAGGCTGGAAAATAATTATGCTTGATACTGCTGCACAACAAGTGATAACATGAAGGAAATTGGAAACATCAAACCTGAGAACGGAAAAACTCACAAGAATGTCAGAAGCAGCCTGAAGAAAAAAGCAGACAAAGATGTAATTTCCAGAACAATAACCGGAGATCAAAGGAGGCTGATGTTCTTTCAAGTCAATATTTGTGGTGGATCTGCAGGAGAAAATTAAGGAACGTTATTTTGGAAGATGCTGGGAAAAATACAGAGAATTGCAGGGAAGCAGTAGACCCTGTAGCTGTTTTTTTTTTGGCTCTCTTAATACCACTGCCTTCTGCATTTCTGTGTTGGCCATGCTGAGTTTTTCTGAGAAAAATATCACCATTCGCTTCACTTTAAATTGACCAGAGATAAAGCAATTTTGTCCTCTGATACAATCATATGCCACGGAAACTATCCTTACTCTCTGAGCCGCTTTGTTTTCTTCTCTATTGCTAGGTCTAGTTCAATGCTTTTAAGGCTTCAACTGCACAGATTTTCCCTGTTAGATCTATTCTTCATAATATCCTGATAGATTTTGTTGATGTTGTCAAATTTCTGTCAAAACTAAGAAATACTAAAATGTTTTATATTGGCACTTTGACACAAGCATTGCAATTTTCCATTTATATTTCATTATGAAGTTTTATTCTATTTAAAATAGTTTTAAAAGATGGGAAAGAAATGTTTCTTCATAGTTTGATGTGGAATGCCCAGCCTGAAGTGAGCTGCTTTTTTTCCCCTTGTTCATCTGTCTCAGTGACTGCAGTGTGTTTTGTGCCACTTTATATGTCTTCCGGCAAATGAAAAAATCAGATTCCCTTTTTTGGGCAAGCAGTCTAATATCTGACTAAATTTCTGTTTTCTTAGATCTTTATGAGTCAGTATACATGTTCTGAAACATTTCTATGCTTGCTTTCTTTTTTTTCACAGGCGGAAACAACACCAACATACAGTAGGTAATCGGTATTCTAGAAAATGAAGGACAAAGAAGAAACTTGAGGTACACAAGAAAAGCCTGACCTTTGACATATACAAACTCTGAAATTAGTCCTTGTCCTTCCTACTTTATATTGAGGATTAAGTAATGTGATATAAAAAAGGAAGGTGGCAAACTAATGTGCCAAACTAGAACTACCCAGGCACTTCAAGGCAGTTTACATGGCTTCAGGATAATGCAGGTTAAAGAAATTGCTGGGATTTGAAGGGCTCCTGAGAAGTTAGTGGAAAATGCCCTAATATAAGTTGTTGGGGCTTTCCTGTGCCTTACTAGTTCTTTAGATCTGTATAGTACTTCTTAGCACCTAGTGAAAATGGGGTTAAAGAGGCTTATTTAGCTATTTTTGAGTTCCCATTTTGTCCACTGTCTAGAAAGACTAGGTCCTTTGGCTGCCTCTTGCTCTGGACTTCCAAAAAATGTGTATTACTTCCCTTCCTGAAGGAATTCAAGGGAATTCACAACATGGAGCACTCAAGGCTTGCTTAAGTAAAAGCCTGTAACTCAGCCCTGCATTTCTTCAGTTTAAATTAAATATCCCAAACTAGAATATGAGCCAAGATTTCTGTAAGAGTGATATTGAGCATGAGCAAGACCAAATGCTAAGAGAGAACTATTACATTGGTATGAAACAGAGCAGCTTGAATCCACACCTTCATCAGGTCTCCATCTAGTACTGAGAAAGCTTTTCAGGTCTGATTAGTCATTTGAGTTAAGCGTAATAATGTCAGAGAAACTAATTAAAAGAACCCCTCAGTAAATGTGAGGCATAGCTGCTCCAGTGGACATGTGAACAGTGTCAGTAGTGTAAGTACACTTAACATCCCCAGAAAATAATCATGTAGATGCTCTGCTGAGAGACAGAAGTTCAGCTGCTGCTTAGTTATCTTGCTGTCTCTTCCCCTTCTTATGTAGCTGACACCAGGGTTACAGTGAAATGGCAGAATGCAATAGCAAGTATCTCTTGTCCAATGCTGTGGTGAGCAATATTTAATTATCTGTATGTTGTCATTTTGTTTGCAGGTGACAGTGTTTCCATTTAACATTGTGCAAGGGTGGCAAATATGGCAGAGCTAAGAAAAACCATTTTATCAGAAAAGCGGGGGTTTACAAAGTAGTACAACTATTTATTTCCTTATGCTGTACAGAAAGATAGCAGAGAAAAGAAAAATAACCTCCTGGACATAGGACCTTCACATTTGGGAAGGTGAGACTCTTGTAGGAGAAAACCTACTCGTTCCAGTGGGATCAGTGTTAAATCAAGTCAGCATGCCCAGGCATAAGTGCATGCACACAGAGGACTTCAGGCAGCCTGGTGGTCCAGTGCATTCTGGGGCTGACTGTGGTGTGGAGCTGTGCTCAGGCTACAGACACCCACAGCATGGGGCTGAAATGTGGCTCTTCTGTTCTTGACCTTTCCAGCGGCTTCACTGTCTCAGTGTTTAGCTCGCTATCCACTGTATGTCAAGGAATCCCCTACATCCACCAGAATGTCCCCTGAAATAATCTTCTGCCTGTATTGATTTCTTGATGGGTAATCTTTAAAAAGAATTTTGGAACAAACCTATCAGTTACATTCTTTTATTGCAGTAACATGAGCAAAAAATCAGTAACAGATTTCATAAGCAGCCCTGAAATAACCAAAATCACCAAAAAACACAATTCACATCCACCAAAGGTTTATGGGAGTGGCTCACAAAGTTAGTCTTTAATACTAGAAACAAAATTGTATACAACAAAATAGCCTGTGCTTAACCCAGTGTTTTTTCATATATGTGCAAGATTTGCTTAAGATGTATGTATTTCAAAAGCAGCTTTAGAAATAACCAAAGCATCCCATTTCTTAGATTTTTAGTTAAATTACTGATAAAGGCGTTCCCACCATAGGGTCTGGCAAAATATTGAAGAAGCAAAAAGAGTATCCTATCTTG